AGGGTTTTGGCGGAGCTGGGTTTCGGTTTTTGTTCCAACTCAGGAGGGTTTGGGGTTTGGAGTCTAGTGTGTGGTTTGATGATTAAGTGTTCGTGTACAACAAACCCATCCTGTTGCCTGTCTCTTTGCCGCCGTGCAGGGGGTCGCTGGTCATAAGACTGCCTGAAACTACAATGTACTGTAGGTTCTTCTTACTGTAAAACCAAACATGGAAATGTCATAACGACCTCATAAATGTAGGTTCTGCCAGGTTAAGGTAAAAGAACTCCTGATGCTCGGACCGGGCAGATGGGGTTCGTTCTCTGATTTCCGCGCCGTTGAAGCCGCACAGCCGGCAAATGAGTAATAGCTAACGCGATCCCTTTGTAGCCCCAGTAGAACAATTATTGTATGCTGCACCCCAAAACAGTTAAGATCATCTCAAAACCCCATTCGCATGATTAGGGTCCCTGCAGTAAAACCCTAAACCCTATACACCTAAACCCTAGACCCTAAACCCCTAACCCTGAACATTACAACTTAAAACTTCGATGGGACTCGCACCTCCGGACAAAGGCATTGGGGAAGACTTCCGTGTCCTGCGCAAGACTTCCCAGAATGCTATTGGTGCTCCTCAAGTCTTTACGTGGCTTTGTACATCTTATAGGGTGTTCATGGGCCCTAAACCCTGAGCCCTAAACCCTAGTAAGGCTTTTTATTTCAACCCGACACCGTGAATGTTCGGAAACCCTGCAGATCCGACTCTCACCACAAACTCTAAAGCCCCTAAATACTCCACCTTAAAGCCTTAAGCCTTGAAACCCAAGCTTCCGAGATCCGCTCCCCTAGACCCAAGACCTATATGGGGGTTTCCGAAAAATTAGGGGTACCCTATTTTGGGTTCCTTATCATAGGGATCCGATTTTTAGGGTACTATATCAGGGTCCCCTATTTTCGGAAACTCCCCATATTATATACAGCTCTGCAACCCTGGCGCAGTAGCAGGCTCTGGACCCTGGCCAAGCGGCTCGCTTCCTTGCCGAAGCCATCGGGAAGGTGGACTGGCAGCAGCCGGAAGGACCGGAGAGAGGGGGGGGGGCGGGCATGGCATAAGGGGGTGGTTGGAGCTTTGAGGTTTGGGTCTTTTGCTAGGTTCAGGATCATAGGATATCATATGGTTTGCTAAAAGGCATGGGTGTTGATCCGGGGTATGAACCGTCGTTGGATTGGGTGTTCAAGGTTGCTCTCCAAGGCTTTCAACTCTGCAGTACTCTACAGTCTACAATAGTTGACTGTTACCGCAGACAGGGTCTTCGGGAGACTAGCCAGCAACGAGATTCATCATGCCGACGTGAAATGTTGTGACACACTTATGCGGATGCAGCATTCGGTACTCCCCCAATAAATGCCAAGCCTGCTGTCTTTGGAATCCTTGTACAACTAAAGTATATGATATAAAACAAGTAGTCCGATGTGCTTATGCTCTGCTGTAGATCAGATTTCAGGGTGGTTCAGGGCACGGCCATTGTGGAACTCTACAACGAATTCTCAGACCTTGAACCACGAACTCCCACAGCCTCTACTCTCAACCTTAAACCGCTCAAGTCCTAAACCACCAGTCCGTTGCAGAAGCCCTACAGCCCCGAGCCGCAATGAACCCTAAGCCCCAAACCCTTTTGTCTGGTTTCAAGCCTGCAGACGTTAAACCGCCTATACCCTCAACCCAAAAGAGGCCGCTGGGGCCCCATCCCCCGCAAGACGGCCTGGCTCACCTCGGGCGGCTGCCGCTGTCGTGCCCGGGCATACAAGGGTTACGATAAGGGTTACTACAAGGCTACAAGGGTTACTATACGAGAACAATGAGAGGTTCTGAAACTGAAGAATGTAGGGTTTAGGAGACACAGTAGACCGAAATTCAAGCAAGCTCTAGGGCACTGCTCTAGGGCCTAACCCATAGGATCCTGAACAGAAGGATCCCCCAAAGAGAGTACGTAACGACATGCATGTGCAAGGATCCGCACGGAAACACTCATACTTTTCAGGTCACGTCGCTTGCGATTGTCGGTTGCCACACCTAAACGCTGAGCCCAGGAAATTCTTCTGAAACCCGGCAACTCCTTGTGTTGAGTGTTCGGGGGTGTAGGGCTTAGTTTCCAGGCATGTATACCCATAGGCCCCATAGTAGTTCCTTCTCAGGGGTTAGCATTTAGAATTCTATAAGGTAGTCCCAAAAAGGAACTACTATGGGGCCTATGGGTAATTAAACTTTGTCATGTTCTGTACCCATGAGCATGCCTCCTAGCAGCAAAAAGCCCCGCCCAGGCTACGGCTACGGCGGGCTGCGGATAGGGTGCAGGGCTCAGGCGTCCTTTCCCCATGTCTGGGTTTGCCGGCTGGCTCATACCGTATACACCCTGTACCCGAACCCTCCGAACCTAAACCCTGCACCCCAATGCAAGTCAACGTGCCCCGAAAAACTTACAACCTTTCCCAAGCCCCAGGAAAAAACATTAAGATCACAATAAAAGAAAATCCAAACTTCACAAAATCCCATAAGGCCCACTACAACCCTGCAGTCCATATAGGGCTCGTTCTGAGTGGCCAGAACTATTTTAAAAACCACGAAAACCTTAAACCCCAACGAGGGACAACGGCGCTCAAATAAAACAAGCTCGAAACCCCAAACCCTAAATCCCGACCCTATAATAAGCCCCTGAAGGTCCGAGCCCTTCCCGGAGTGGCTGAAGGAGGTCACTGCCCTCTGCATGCCCTTGTGCGGCCTCCCCGAGGAGAAGGACATGCTATTGTAATGGCTACCCTAGGGGTTAGCATCAGGTTATGAATAGGGTTGTTGTAGGACCCGCTGCAAATTCCGGAGTCGAGGGTTTGGGGTTGGGGCATTTAGGGTTTCGGGTTACTTGAAGCGCTGCTACACTACGAGGTCCCCATCAGGTTTTCGGGGTTGGGGATTATGTGGGGCTTTGGACTGAGGTTTTGGGAAGGTTAAGGTTTAATTACTCTCTCAGGGTTGAGAGTGCTGCACGCTTCGGGTATTTCAGGTGTTGCTTTGGGTAGACGGATGCAAGGACCTTGAGTCCAGAGCTTGATTTAGGGTTCAGCGCAATGCCCACCAAGACTAGTTGTCCTTCGATAGTCTAAAGACGGCACGACTCGACACGAGTGCTCCTCGGGGCATGACTTCGCATCTTCACTTTCGAGAAGTGACCTTCGCATGGAGAGGCCCAGTATGCGTATAACATGGGGACTACCAGTCTACGATGGAGACGATTACGATTACTATTTCTAAAATCCCAGAGGAAGCGAAGTCTTTCACACAGGCCTCTGGCAACCTCTGGGGCATCGCAAACTCCCTGGGCAGAGCATATTCCGATCAAGCCATGTAGTAAGCAGGCTTGTGCTTGCTCAAGGGGGCAGATGTGGATAACGTCTACCGATCCTAATAGAACGCAGTGCCATACCTGCTCGGGCACCCGGCAAACGGCAAAGCCGCTTGGAAAATCTGCTTCAGAGGACGGGGCCTAAAACGCCAAAACCCCAACCACTGAACCCTACACCATACAAAAAACCTTGCAGCGCCCTATACAACCTATTAATAAAGCTCTGTCTGACAACGACCAACAAAACTGAGCCCAGTTTTGAGGGTTTATAAATAGGGTTTAGGGTTATCAAAAGCACCCCAAAGAAACGCCCACAAAGCCTCAACCCTGAGACCAAAACGCCTCTCCTTTTTCGTGAGGATTGGCCCGACAGCTGCAACCTGAACCTCTACGAGGACCCCTTGGCTCTTAGAGGTGCTTTTTAGGGTCCGGTTTTAGTGTTTAGGGTTGAGTTGGGGAATGGATCCCCAAATTGAAAGACTGTGGTGACCGGTTCCGTCGGCTTTTCCTGGAGCGCAGACACCCCTGAATCATGTGATCACCGGGCCCTCCAAGTAGGTACCTTGATGCTTGAAGACTGACGCGCGTGTCTGAAGAAACCTTTTGGCTGACAGGGTTTTTGCCAGAGGTGTGCGGCGAGGCACAAGACCGTACCGCTCCGGGCCACAATGCCTGGCGCAGAGAGTGGCGGCGATGTTCGACGAGCTTCGCGATCAAGTGATCGCCATGGTCCAGGAATATGAGCAGCAGGGAAGCCAGGCGACAGAGCTCCAGGCACACCTGGCTGCCCAGACGCGGCAGGTGGAAGCCCTGGAGGCAGAGTTCAGGGACTGAGGCAGCTGTTGGTGCAAGATGCAGAGGAAAGCGAGACGGAGACACGTACACCGCCATCCCCGAATACGGTGGACTCTCCCATCTCGGGTTCCGACGAAGTGATGCAGCCAAGCCGAAGGGCCATTGCCAACTTGCTCTTGAAGAATCTTTATGCACGGGTTGGGCCGAGGCTGAAAAGACGGCAGAAGTTGAAGCATTCCCAACAGTCCAAGAGCCTCCTGACGATAGCCCTTTAAAGTTGCACAGTGGAGGTGCGTGTGACGCCCAGGCATGGACATCAGGAGCGCGCGTAATAATGCAGCGAAAGGGAGTCGTGGGCTTCCTGAGCTTTGGAGAAGTTTTCGATCTGATCGAGGAATGGCCGGGCAGAAAGGGCACCGTCTCCCTCAAGCTTGCAGATGATAAGGGTTGGGTTCTCAATAAGGCCCGCGCTGGCACCTTCTGCGTGCCGGTGGGAGGCGAATGGCAGGATTGGCGAGGTCCTGCGACCACTTCCAAGGGCCACAAGCCCTGGACGGCCAGTAACAGAGATCACCAGCAGGGATCGAGGAACAACGGTCCCGGCTGGAATGGCCGCGACCGCGAAGGCGACCAGGGGATGTCTTGGAAAGGCCAGGGAGACAAGTGGGCATGGGGTCAGAAAGACCGTGGCTGGCCCCATGAACAGCACCAAGAAGCATGGAACACCAAAGAGTGGAATAAGTCTTGGGGTTACAGCAGCCAGAACAAGTCCGAGTCACGCAATGCCTCTTGGTGATGTTGCAGCCTTGTGATGTTGTGAGCAAACCATCTAGTCTGAGCCCAAGAGACATAGCTGAGCTGCATTTTCACAGTTTCTCCAATCTCCGCTAAGAATTCAAGTTGCAAAGTTCCTCGGAAACGCCATTCGCATCAGAACCCATGTGTCGTGCATCAAGCACCCATTTCCTCATTCTGCTTACTTCCTGCTAAGAACCTCCACTAGGATGGCGATCACTCCGTCGGTTGGCATGCAGACGACGAGTTCCTTTTCCAAGGACCTTTTGAGTGGGTTTTAAGGGTTTGACAGTTTAGGGTTGTGTATCAAAGACCTACAATTCTTTTGTTGTGATATAATCAGCCTTCATTATTCTTACTCTTCCAGAGACCAGAGCGGGTTTAGGGTTTTAGGGATATCTATTTTACCGTATGTTTACTCTAAAGACCAGTTTTTGATAGGTTTTGCTTTCGTCCAAAGATCTTCTCATGCGCAGGTGTTTGCGGGGTTGTGTGGTTAGGGGCTTTCGGGCTTGTCGGGTGTCTTAGGGTTTTCGACTCAACCCTAATTCCTAAAAGCAGACCTGTGATGATTTTTGTTCGTTCATGCTAATGAGTCCACATTCAGGGCTTGGAGCTTTGCAGGTTTCGGTTGGTAGGCTTGGGTTCAAGGAGCTGTCAGCTTTCGGCTTAGAGGCTTCAGGCGGGTTGGGACTTTGGGAGTGAGGGTGGGTTGAAATTCGGCTGAGAACTTCAGGCTTGCGTGTGTCATTATATTTGTGGCTTGGGTCGTGCAGGCCTAAATGGTCTACAGCAATGGGTTTTGGGTTTCATGCTCCCCGCCTTTTGCTAGCTGTTTGTGCTGCTGTATGCCATTGGCAAATGCCTAAATGCCTTGTGGCGCATGTCACACTACAAGAACCTGCTCGACTTTGCGATTTATGCTCAAGGAGAACGCTACAGATTCAAGTTTCGAGGGTTTGCAGGAAGTCTTGGAACTCTGGGCTTGGAGTGTTGTCCATGTTTTGCTACCTGCCAAATCCTACCCTCATCCCGGAGATGCGCAGGAAAGTTTACCGACTGTCTCATCATATCCCTGCGACTCGGAAAGCAGCCACGGGAAAACAGCGAATCATTGCGTTTGTAACGCAGTGCTGTTGGGCTGGATCGTCGAATCTGAAGAAATGCATGGTTTTTCCGCCACCACAGCAGTTCTGAAAGATAACCTTTAGATGGCCTGCATCGAAGCAACTAGCTTGCAAAGCCGTTCATGGAGAGGAACTTGTACGGTGTCTCTCTATCCGATCTCGCAACTTATTGAAGGTCCTTGGGCGGGACGCGCTGGTTCGAGCTCAAGGCTCGTCTTCCTGGCGGGAAGGGTCAAGGGTTTAGGGTTCACCAGGGGGGGTGTCGGGATCAAGAGTATGTAAAGAGTATCGCCTTGTACCCCCAGTATAGAATAATTACATTCTGCAAGCCCCTATTCAAATTATTTCCAATGTTGAAGGTTCCAGAATTACTTCTCCCGAACTTCGAAGCCTGATCTCAGAAACCCCGCCCCGTTTGAAAGCCGAAGCCTGAAACAGAGGTTCAGGAATTTAGGGATACCTCTTTCGCAGTTTGCGTAGAGTTATTAAATAAGGATCTTAGGGGCATGTATTTCGATCAATTATTTCTCGAAATTTCAAAACCGTTAAGCCCAACGCCACACCGTCCAAAATCCGAAGCCGCGTGGAAATCCTGGAGCTTATGCTTTAGGGTTCTAAAACAAGGGCCTTGACAGGCAGAATAGGATCTGGGGACTAGAACCGGACATTACGGCCGCCGTACTACCAAGTAAACTACTTGCCAGACGCCTAAAGTCATCTTTGACCCAGACAAACGGGGAGCCCTTTGAGATGCACCGAGTGCTCCTGCGGTCAGGCGCAGAAGGGCTCTTCAGGTTTGTAGTTTCGAAAGTAGCAAGATTCTCGGATTTACGGTTCAGGGTTGGGGCCTTGGGTTTAGGCGGCTTGGGGCTTAAAATTTAGGGTAGAGGCCCGATGATAAGGCTTGCACGATTGAATAGGGGGTGCGGGCTTCGGCGGCAAGCTGCGAAGAGTGACGAGGCCTTGGCAGATACGGGTGTCCACACAGTATGGCCTTCAATAAAGAGAACACGTGATGGCGTAAAGGGTTATGTCGCTGATAGTATGCAGGATGCTCTCTACATGCATTGAACGAATACAAAACCGAATACAATGCACGAACTGAGGCGCCTTCAGATTTCCGTTCTGTTGCTTTCTACAACCCAACAACATGTCTGCATGCACAGAACAATTAGATCAGCAACACATCATACATCGGTGTGTGGTCGCAACGCAGCACGTGCCAACAGTGCATTGAAGCAAGATGGAAGAGCAAGCCCAACTAGCTTCATTCTTGTTAACATCGCGGCATGCGAAGCCTTTCATTGCCAACATGACACCTGGATCAAGTTCGGGCCTTCACCCTGAACCCAAACTCGAATTAGGCGCACATTTCACGAGTAGAACCCCCCCCAAAAAAAAAAACCTAGTCTAATTATGCTGTGCGAGAGACTCATCCTTGCTTGCGGCGGGATGTACCTCAACTGTGTCGGAATAGTACCCCTTTACACCTTTTTCTACACTCGGGCCTACTTGCAAAGGCTGAATAGCAGAGAACAAGGTATGTTTTGCTTCTAAGGACATGGCCGACTCGGCCAAGCAACTAGCACTCGTACTACGAATGGACCCAAGACCCTAAAACCCTAAAAACCCTAAAACCCTAAACCCCAAAAGACCCTAAAGCCCTAAACCCTAAAACCCGAGCCCTTAGCCGTAGAGAGAGCATTTGCCTTTGCCTGCAGAGGAGATCTCTGCACTATGGAGGGCCTCATGCAGAAGCACTACAGTCATCGGGTGCCCAAGGAGGGAAGTCCCTACCCCCTAGGCTTCATGGTAGTTCCTTTTTTTGGGGGTTCATATGTAGAACCCTGTCATGAAATCCCAAAAAGGAACTACTGTGGGGCCTGTGGGTAAAGCATTCGACGGTTCAGGGTCTCCGGGTTTGGGGTTTTAGGATTGGGCATTTTCGGGTTTCAATGGGGACCCCTACCCTATAACGGGCTATATAATGGGTATATAATAGCTATATTAAGGGTATATATATATATATATATATATATATATATATATATAGCTAGGGGTCCTTTTTTAAGGGTCCGTCCTTTCACCCTGGGAGTCTGGGATTCCGGGTTCGGGATTCAGGGTTTCAGGTCCTAGAGTCCCTTGAAAGTTGAAAGAGAAACTAAGCCCAACCCTTACATTGTAATGGGAGTTTCCGAACATAAGGGGTACCTTATGTTGGGGTCCTTTCTATAAGTATCCTAGTATTTAGGGTACTATATTTGTGTCCCCTAGTTTCGGAAACTCCTACCTACTCTAGCATATGCCCTGCAAGGATTCGCGTCGAATGTGAACGTGTGGAGCTGGGCTTAACCAAGGGTCTGGGGTTGAGGGGCTTAGGGGTTTACGGTTCTGGGGTTTAGGGGCTTAGGGGTTTAGGGGTTCTGGGGTTAGGGGCTTAGAGGTTTAGGGGTTCAGGGGTTCTGCGGTTTAGGGGCTTAGGGGCTTGGTTTTAGGCTTTACGGGTTTAGGATTTAGGGCAGTTGCTCAAAGTGCCTGGTCCCAACATAGCCATGACCTGGGTTCCCTATCTGGCTAGCATTAGAAGCGACTGCATGCCCACTGGCGGTTCCCTTGCAGAGAATGTCATCTCATCGTGTCGATTCTATTATGTTGTTATGTTTATGGTATTTACTGTTACATGCCTCAAAGCACTATTCAAAGGATGCAGGCCCCTGTATTGAACTCCAAACAAACCATCAGAAAGCCTTGCAAAAAAAAAGTTGAAAGCCAATGAATTGACAAAGCCCTTATAAAACCACTATATAGGACCCCTACACAGCCTTCTAAACCTCGTATAAAAGCCCTTCCCTCCCCCATGTTCAGATCCCGGAGCTGCTTCATAAGTCGGCCAAACGCTGGTCGTGAAGACAATGCAATTTCTGGTTATTTCTGCCTTGAGGGTATAGGGTTCAGAGTTTAGGGCTAAGGGTCAGGGTTTAGGGTTGAGGGTTTTAGCGCTTACATGGTTTGGGGTGGTTCGGGTTTAGGGAGACACCGGACGAGAATTTCAGTTCAGAGCTGGGCTAAGGGCGCGGGGCACCTGCCAAAGATGCCCTGAATGACATGCAGAGGAGCGACAATCCTGCGAAGCGCGGGTGAACCTGACCTGGCACCTGGGCGCAACTCCTTAAGGTCCGTAAACTCTTATGAAGCACTCTAAAACCCGGTAAAAAGTTAAAAGCACACTAGATCGATATTACTCCATTTAAGCGACCCTTAACACACCTTCGTAAAACAACACCAACACCAAATCCCCTGCAAGGCACTTGTTGAAACCGACTGTCTCAGCCTCTGGAGCTTTCAGAGAGGGGCATGAAGTTTCAACAATACTGTCCTCTCAGGTTCCCGGTTAGGACCATTATATCATGCTGGTAGTTCTCTAAATTAGGGTCCCTTTTCAGGTCCCCAATGTAGTACGGCACCCTTCTAGAAAGGATTCTAAAAGGGACCATAATTTAGAGAACTACCCATGTGCACCAGAACAGTAACCTAACTGCCCTATGTTAACCACATTCGAGTTTAAGGTTTTACGGGGCTATGGGGACGAAAGATACAGATACTTGGATGCCAAGCCACAAACCCCGGACAAAGCGGCGGTTGGAAACCATAGGGCCTTACAAAAAACCCTAAATCCTAAACCCTAAATCCCCTAAAACCCCGGCCTCCGCCTGAACTAAATATCCTTAGCAGCAACTCCCCTAAAACCCCGGCCTCCGCCTGAACTAAGTATCCTTAGCAGCAACCTCTCCTGCTAGGGACCCATAGCCCATACCCCCCCCCCCGGCTAAGCGCCCCAAACCCTGAATCCATTCCCCGTTTTGGTAGTGAACCAGATAAGTCGAGCAATACTCAAAGACAACACTGTCCCTTGCAAACCTAGTGCAAACATAGACCTTATACATACACATGTATAGAGACATATAGCTATAGATGCACACACACCCCCCCCCCAAAAAAAAAAAAAAAAAAAAAACGATATCTATAAATCTATATATATATATATATATATATATATATCATATAACTAGATGCACATACCCCAAGAAATATACGTATATAGATCAGATACTCCAGTCTCCAGAAGCCCAAAGAGAGGCGCTGGATCGCCAGCCACGAGCCGCGCTGCGGCATGCAGCCAACCGTGGACATGAGGCCAAGGGTCTTTTTGGAGGAGGTTTTGGGGTTAGGGTTTAGGGTCCAGGGTTATGGGTTTGGGGTTTAGGGTTTCGTAGGAGGCCAAAAGGGCTTTTAGACTATGGGGGTTTGGTAGGGGTTAGGGTTCCCATAATACCCCAAGAATCTTAAACCCTCCTTTTGGCTTCCCATCAAAAGGGTTTCTTGGAGGAGGCTTTGGGTGGCTTTTGGGGGCTTTGGAGGCTTCGGGGGCTGTGGGCTTAGGGACTTTTGAAGGTTAGGGTTTTGAGGCTTTGGGACGCTTTGGGGTTTGGGTTTAGGGACTTTTGGGGGTGAGGGTTTGGGCGCTTTGGGGTGCTTTAGGGCTTTGGGGTTTGGGGGTTAGGGTTTTGAGTGGTTTTTGGATCTGGGGTTGGCTTTGGGGCTTAGGGACCTGTGCATTTAGGAGTTTAGGAAATTCGGGGGTTAGGTCACCCGATCCCGTGATTTGGATCTGGCCCCTTCGAACCCATGTGCGCACAAAGCGAGCTTCGCCGAAGGATGTCTACTCTTCCGATCCCTGCCAAACCCTAAGCCCTAAACCTTCTCCGCCTGAGTGTTCGAACGTGAAGCCAGACGAGCGTGAAGTCAGCCTCTAACCGCTCATCCCTCAAACCCTGAAATGTGCAAAACCCGTCTAAAGCCCTCATGCAAACCCTACACATACACCCTCATAAACACTTATCCCACCAGTATAAAGCCCTTGGGATCCTTAGCTCTACAGTGCATTCCTAAACCCTGAAACGCCTAAACCATCTTAAACCATCCTAAAGCCTAAACCCCGAAACCCTAAAGCCCTGTAACCCGAAACCCTAAGCCCTGAACCCTTAAACCATCCTAAAGCCTGAACCCCGAAACCCTGAACCCTAAACCCTAAACCCCCTAATCATTGAACCCATATAAGCCCCTTATAGGAACCCTTATAGATCCCTTTAAAGGAACCCTTGTAGATCCCTTTAAAGGTACCCTCATAGATGCCTTTAGAGGAGCTTTGATAAACCCTGAAACCCTACGTTGCCAGGAAGAGACATGCCCCGGTGAGCCAAGATCCCGGATTCCGCCCTAAGCGGCCGAAGAGACTGAACCTGTTAGTCAAAGGGGAAAATGTAGAATCCTATTAATAAGGTAAGTCGGCTTAAGGTTTCGGGTTCATAGTAGTTCCTTTTGGGGGTTCATATGTAGAATCCTATTAATAAGGTAATCCCGACAAGGAACTACTATGGGGCCTGTGGGTAAAGCATTAGACGGTTCAGGGTCTCATGGTTTGGGGGTTTTAGGATTGGGCGTTTTCGGGTTTGGCGTTAAGGGTCTGTCAAAGGGGAAAAAGGAGGGACCCTTAATGGGGACCCTTACCCTACAATGGGCTATATAATGGGTATAGAACAGCTGTATTAAGGGTATATACCTGGGGGTCCTTATTAGAATACCCTTGGAGTTAAGTTAGGGACCCCAAAACCACATAAGCATAAGCACTTCATAGAGGGAGAACCTGCTAAGGGTTGAGTCAGGGCTCTATAGGGTTTTTAGGTTTTGTACAGGGGTTTAGGAATTTAAAGCTTTCGGGTTTTATAGGGTTTAGGGCTTGTGGATTTTCAGTTTGGGGGTTGGGGTGTAGGGCTTTCAGGCTTTGGGGTCAGGACAATCTGCAAGTTTAGCCGGGGATCCAGTCAAAAGCCTCGTAAACGAAGGAGAGACATGTATATATTATCTAATATAGTATAGGAGAATGTGGAATCATATCATATCGTCTCTGTACGTATGTACCTGAATGTTTGCAGGTTTCCCATAAGGGACCTCTTATGGATTAAAGGGACCCTGAACTCTATCAGCCGATTCTAGAGATCCCTGAAGACGTCGGTCCCGGCCTCGCCTCTTCCTTCTTTGGTAGTGACCAGCTTTAGATTTGGGTGGTTGTCAAAATTATGGTCCCTTTTGGGTCCCTAATATAGTATGGCACCCAATATTTAGGGCATTTAGGGTACCCAATAAGGGACCATGATTTTGACAACCACCCATTTGGATATTATAGGGAATTAGGTTTAAGGGTTAACCAGTTTAGGATATGAGGTAAGCGAGAACAAGAACTACCATGAACCCTAAACCCTTAGCCGACTCGTAGTAGTTCTTTTGTGGGATTACCTTATAGGATTCTACATGTGGGAGTTTCCGACAACAGGGGGGCCCGATCTAGGACCCTAAATAGTAGGATCCTTATGAGAAGGACACCAAAACAAGGTATTCTGAATTTTCGGAAACTCCCATATGAACCCCAAAAGGAAGTATTATGACACCCTGAAAACCTAAACCCGAAACCCTGCAACCCTTTAAACCCCCTTATCATAGAACCCATATAAGCCCCTTATAGGAACCCTTATGGATCCCTTTAAAGGAACCCTAAACCCTGGGCCGACTCTCGGCTAGTCCCAGGACTGAGGCGCAGCCAGCGGCGCCCCGCCGCAAGCGCCCGGCCAGAGCCGTGGAGACGGACAGGGAGAAGGTCGTCGGGAGGGTATCAGGGTTTCGGGTTCCAGGAGGCTCGGGAGGAAGATCTTGTAGTGTCGGACTGATGAGTCGGACATGCCAAGGATCTCATTACAAGGGCAGGGTGCCTTGATGCTTGAAGGCTGACGCACGTGCCTGAAGAAAAGTTTTGGCTGACAGGGTTTTTGCCAGAGGTGTGCGGCGAGGCACAAGACCGTACCGCTCCGCGCAACAATGCTGGCGCAGAGAGTGGCGGCGATGTTCGACGAGCTTCGCGATCAAGTGGTCGCCATGGTGCAGGAGCGCGAGCAGCAGGGAAGCCAGGCGACAGAGCTCCAGGCACACCTGGCTGCCCAGACGCAGAGGGGCAGAGCTTCAGGGACTGAGGCAGCTACTGGTGCAAGATGCAGAGGGGAGCGAGACGGAGGAGACGTGCAAGCCGCCATCCCCGAATATGGTGGACTCTCCCAAATCGCCATCCCCGAAATTTTCGGGTTCCGACGAAGAGATGGAGCCAAGCCGAAGGGCCATCACCAAGTCGGTCCTGAAGCATCTCTATGCCCGGGTTGGGGCCCAGGCCAAGGAAATGGGAGAAGTTGAAGCCTTGTCACAGGTGCAGGAGGTTCCTGAGGATCACCATGGCCCCAAGCCCACGCATTGGAGGTGCGTATGGCACCCCGGCATGGACATCACCAGCGAGCTTAAAAGTTCAACGGAAAGGAGTGGCGGGCTTCCTGAGCTTTGGAGAAGTTTTCGAGGTGATCGAGGAGTGGCCGCGCAGAGAGGGCACCGTCTTCCTCAAGCTTGCAGGTGATAAGGGTTGGGTTTTCAACAAGACCCGCACTGGCGCCTTCTGTGTGCCGGTGGGAAGCGAATGGCAAGATTGGCGAGGTCCTGTGAGGACTTCCCACCCAGATGAGGGTCACAAGCCTTGGACGGCCAATAACAGAGACTGGAATGGCCGCGAAGGAGATCAGGGCAGTCGGTCCAGCTCTTCTTGGAAAGGCCAGGATGACAAGTGGGCGTGGGATCAGAGACCGTGGTTGGTGCCGTGAACAGCACCAGCATGCAGGGAACAGCAAAGAGTCCAGCTTTTCCTGGAAAGGCCAGGGAGACTAGTGGACATGGGATCAGAAAGACCATGATGGTTGGCGCCATGAACAGCAGCATGCAGGGAGCAGCAACGAGTGGAAGAAGTCTTGGGGCTACAGCGGTCAGAACAAGACGGAGTCACGCAATAACTCTTGGTGATGTTGCGGCCGTCCCGTCAAATCCTAATCTTCAGATTCGAACAGTGTGTGTAGTCTACAGTGAACCCTAGAAAGTTGGAACATGGTTTAAGGACGAGAAGTGCTAGGGTTTCTTATACTGTACCTTGGAAACTAACGTTCCAACTTTCTGGCTTCTACACAAGCACAAGAAAAAGCTGCGCTTCATTTTCGCGGTCTCACTAGAGGATCATGGGACTTATAGTAAGTACTGTTATAAGTACCCTATCTGGATTATAATTTAGAATTATGTGAAGCCCCAGTCTCCGGAGCGAACTACCCGTTCCGTTCGTTTCAGCGCCAACGTGTCACAGGAGTTTCTGCAGAGCCTTGGAAAAGTGCACATCCTGCTTCAATGCACAGGCTTCGAAAGGCTTACCTACAGGCTTTCTATACCAGATCCAACAGAAGATATCTTCTGTTTTGGTCCGTATACTCGCAATTGCCAAGGTCCTACTTGCTCAGTGTCTTTACCAAGACAGCAGTGTTTCTGCTAAATGAGGGTTCTCCAGACATCGCCCGGCGCCGCTATGCAGGTGCTCGCGATGCCGGCCGAGGCAGCTGCAGCGAAATTCGATTTCGGAGCCGTGCCTGCTTGAACTGGGGATGCCATCAATTCCGCGTAGCACGTCCAGGTGCTAGGCACCGATTACAAATCTCCGCAGAGCCCATATCAAAGCCAGTTGAGAGGTCGTAACACTGGAAATGGCTAGTGGTCATTGCGTGTCATAGTACGAGTCATGCTCATATTGCAAGTCTTATTAAGAATCATAACAAGAAGAAGCAAGACTTCTAACGATGGCTATGGAACCAGTGCTAGCAACTTGCCAACAGCAACAATGGTAGCAGTTTTTAAAATTTTTAAAAGCTTCGCAGGCAGAGGATCAGCAATCGGAACAGTAGTGAGACGAATTAGGGGCACAAGCAGGCCGACGAGAACGAATATCATTCCAAAGAGTTCCTTAGTATGTTCATTATAGTTTACCGCTAAACGTTATTTTAGTTATTCAGGCCCTTTGTATGAAAACTCTATAATAGCCTTCACAGTAGCCCTGTAAAAAGAAAACTTGAAAAACATGGAAAAAACAGCCCTGCTCTGATTGGAAAGGATTGCCAGCCTGTAAGCTAGCAGTGCAGGAGTTTGAGAAGCAGTACAGGCGGCAGACAACTGAGCTGGATTAAGGCTCAGGTTTTGGAGATTTTAGTTTTAGGATGTTTTAAGCTTTGGGGTTGAAGGTTTACAGTTTAGGGTTCGGCAGGAGCACCACGAATGCCGTAGACTAGATGCAGCGTCATCCATTCATCCATCCTCCCTCCATCAAGCCATCCACCCATCTAGCAGTCCATCCATCCATCCATCCATCCATGCATGCATGCATGCATGCATGCATGCATGCATGTGCAGACACCACAGACCGACGAACGTAGAAACACGCATAGATCGTAGATGCACATGTTATCATAGCCCAGAGTCTGGTTTTGCAAAAGTAACTTCCTCTGTTTTGCCTTGCCGGGCCTTCATGGTTCGCCCACACTGAGAGGTGAGGGCAAGATGGCTCGCCGATGCCATGAAAGCTGTGGCTGCAGCTCGGACATGTCCCTACCCGTCAACATCCGTGATCTCGTCCTGGCTTAGCTCCTTCCGATTCCAGTCTAATGCCTTGTAGAAACAGGATCTAGCCGCATGCTGCTCCCCGTCTTGCGAGAGGAGCCAGTGAATCAGGTCGTTTTGATTCAGAAAGAGGAAGACTCCAAGGCAAACGAGATGGATGCTGTCAGCATCTTCGCCCTTGCTGCACACCCTGCCACTTCACCGCAGAGCTCACACGCATTCTGCTCGGATTGAGTTCAGAGGTTTCAACCGGCCCAGAGAATAGCTCCTCATGCTACCATAAGATGTGGAGCTCTATAAGATCTTGTAATATGACCTCGTTTCATCTCTGGGCCTCCGGTGTACGAGCTTCAGGCTTGAAAAACCTGCACTAGACGGACATGGCAAGTCATACTCATAGCAAATGCTATCTGCTTGGTGGCACTCCGGATCTTAGGATTTTGCGGATGGGGTCTCGGAAGCCCTTGGCGCCCGCATGCTTCGCGTGCTGCGTGGCAACGCGCGGCACTTCACTGAGGCACGGATGCGGGATCTTACAGCAACTGTGGCACAGTTGAATCGCATCTGGAACCTGAACTAGACTCGCAGAAGCAGGAGAAGAATGAGCAGAGGAAGATATAAGAGGCAGTAGGTAGCATTTTAGTTTGGGGAGAGCCGACAGCAGCTGTGGATGCCGTCAGGATTGCTTCCACACGTGGTAAGTGCAGAAGTTTTGGAAGCTCCTGAATCCCTGTGTGCATATGTTGGACCAAGCCCAAACTCGGAACTTCAAGGTTCAAAGCATATGTAATTTATGCACGCAAGACATGGTAATGTGATGGTCAGTCCATGTTGTACACCAGCTGCAGCCAGCATACGCAAGGAGCAGGCCCGCGTGTTGCAAGAAACGTGCCCCCCGGCATGCAGGAAGTTCACCAGCTTGACAGGCTACGAGCTTCGTGCTTGCTTGATCGTTCCGAGGTTCGCAGCAACTGGATAGAACGCCTTGCAAGACAGACAGCCCCACTGCATCAACAGAGGGATTGGGATTGTGAAGAAGGAAGCAGCACGAGGGGCCGCGCATCCGTTCTGACTTGTCAGCAGCCATTTGAATACGAAGGTGCTGTGGCCCAACGCTTTGGGAGTGCGATTCCTGCGGGAGATTGCAAGAACGAGGCTTCTCGGCATGCTGGAAGGCGGTCGCCTGATCAACACCACCGCCAAGATCAAAGTCTTTGGGTCTGGTTTAAGCTAGTTTGGGATAGAGTATAGAATTTAGGGCGTAATTTTGGGTTCATGGTACTGGAAGGATAGACCTCAGGGGATTTGTCTTCTCGTGTGTTTCTCTTGTGTGATAATATTCTAGGGTCGCCCTGATTTGACTTGCATCATCTACGACAGATATCTTGCACTGCAAAGCTTTATGTGCAGAAGACTGTCAGTCGGCCACATGCTTTCGTATTTTCTCTTGAGAGCCGGGTGTGACGACCCGAATCCGATGACAAGCCGAGCAGTCCTGGCTGAGGCGTCTGCTTGGGACCCGTGCCGCTATATTACATGAAGCTTTCGCATCCGAAAGGCTGCAAAGCGGAACAACATAACCCGTATTGTCCTCTTGTGACTACATAATGTGAACTAAGGTACAAATAACATCATTATTGTTGGTCCTGCCAGTGCTGATTTTTACTGCTTAGTGTCGCAGTTTTGCCAATATCTTCAGCCAGGGCGAGACAGATTCCGGCCTTGGCCCCGGCACCAACGCACAGGACGCTCAAGAGCTGTGGGTGTTGCAGGTCGGGAGCCAGTCAGTGGATTAGTATGGTGTTAGTTTAAAATCCAAGTCAGCCTGCGTGCTTATGCGGAGAAGAGGCATGGATCAGTTGGGCACACGACAAGGAGATGACGAAAACGAAGGTTTATGTTGTGTTACAACGGTCTTTCTGAAGAGCCTCACACAAACCCTAAACATTCATAAACCCTATAAGCCCCAACTTTTTAGCCCTATAAACCTAAACCCTAAACCCTATAAACTCTAAACTTTTAGCCCTGTAAACCACCAAACCGTCAGCCCTAAAGCCCCAAACCCTGCGGAGGAGGAGCAGATGAAACTTCGGCAGCAGCAGCTTCAAGATATGCAGGCCATGATAGGCGTACTACACGGGCCATTGCCATAAGAATGAATAGGGTATTGGGTTTAGGGTTTAGAGTTAGTTTAGGGTTTAGAGTTTAGGGAATATTGTGCCGTAAGTACGTAGGGCTATAGTGGGGATTTGCTAACTACTGCTCATTCAGACCTCCTGCTGTTGGGCCCCAAAGCGCACCCCAGTAACTTATCCGACCCTTCTCCAAGATTGCTAGAGGGAAAGAGGGCCTAGCAAACCTAGACAACTAAGTCTCGAAGCGCTACACAACGAGTATGTAAGGGGGTTCTTGTTGCACACCTCGCCGAAAAGTCTCTAAGCCCTGAATAACTAAGAATAGTATACAGAAGGCTTTGTTACGTAGCTAACCATGAAGTCTTCAAGCCCTAACTGGGAGCTTCCGAAAATTTTGGGGGTACCTTATTTTGGGGGTCCTTATAGTAAGGATCCTACTACTTAAAGTGCTATATTAGGGTCCCCTGTATTCGGAAAGTCTCAAATCATTATAAAGGGAACTCCAGAGAGTTGGAATATGGATTAATGGTAGGATCCCCTATAATTTACCTTAAAGGGGTTACGATAATGATATTCCAACTTTCTGGCCTCTACTGTAAGGGATTCCGAAGCGTAGCTCAAATTTGCGCGTATGGATGCCTCGACTCTAGGAGGCATCGGCCCGAAACCGAAACCCCAAACCGAAGCTCTAGACCCTTAAAGGAGCCTCTAGAGTAACTTTGGGGTTTAGGGTTTAGGGACCTGTATAGTAACCCTCATAGGACCCTTGTAAATCCTAAGCCCTAAATCTGCATCCTGAAAACCAAGAACCCCAAGCCTGCACTGCCCTTGCGAAGGCCGCAGCTACGGCACGGCGGCGGCGGCTCATCGACGTGGCGTGCCAGGATGTTCTGGGGCTTCTAGGAGTAGGATTCCTTATCCCAAAGCCTCAACCCTAACTCTAAAAACTCTAAACCCCAACTATGTAAACCTTAAACCCCTAAACCCTAAACCGCAACTACAAAGTTCTACACGGGCGCAACAAGGGTGCTATACCCATAGGCCCCACAGTAGTTCCTTTTTGGGATTACTTTATAGAGTTTTACATATGACCCCCAAAAAGGAACTACTGTGGGGCCTATGGGTAGAGGCTTCTGCTATCCGGCTTTCGAACGGAGTGCCGGGCTCGAGCTTCGTTTGGCGCATGGGAGTTTCCGGGTTTAACAGCGATGCCTAGGGTTGAGGGCTTAGAGTTGAGGGGTTAGGGCTTTAGGGTTTAGGGGGCATTGGGGCTTTAGGCTTTAGTGCTTTAGGGTCTAGCGGGCTTTAGGGTTTAGGGCTCTAGGGTTTAGGGTTGAGGGCTGGGGCGAGGGCTTTCGAGCGCCTACTGTACTGTAGTGCTTTCGGGTTTTGGGATGTTTTGGGGCTCTTCGGGTCTGGGGTACAGGGCTTTGAAGAGGCTTAAGGCCTTTGTAGAGCAGACTTGGCAGACTGCACCAAAGCAGGATTGGGAGTAGCACCTCACTAAAACTTCCAACCCTAAGCACTAAGCCAAAAACCCTAAACCTAAACCCTTACCTTTCCGTGATAGGAATCCCTATATAACTCTTGTAGTAGCCCTGACACCTGACCCGTCGCTTTTGGCCCTGATCTGTCGGCGTTGAATCTGTCGGTAAGAGGTAGTCTGGTATGTAGTGATTGACCCGTTCAAAAGTTGTTTCTTAAGCTTCTTGTGGATTTTATAAGGATTTACACGGTTTGTCTTTTCTGGTAGGACTCCCAAGTTGTGAAGGGAGGTCATCCTGAAGGGAGTACGTTCACACTTACACAACAGATTAGGCTGCCGCTCTTCGGAAGCTGTGTTCTCCTCAAGCCCACACCCAATGATGCCCAAGCTGCAGGAGCAAGCGTCTGTCAGCGAGCCGGCAAAAAGGCGTCTGTGCGCAGCTTGAATTTGTGGTGACTTGGCAGGTTCGCCTGCCGTGCGTATGACTGAATTAAGGCAGTGCTACAGCCCTTCTAGTCTGGAGTCTAGGGATCGGTGATACAGCGAGCCCATCCTTAACAACCAACTAGTGGCTGAAAACAGTATGACTATATTTCTAAAAAGGGATATGTAGGGGCTGTGAGGGAATAGTGTTACGACATGTTTCGACAGTCATCTTCTCGAATTGCGTGACTTGGACCGAACATTGGGTAAGAAAGATGGAGAAGCCTCATGCGACGGCCCATCGGCTGTTGTCCAAGTGACGGACATACGTGGCTGATGCTGTTGAATTTCACAGCCGGCACAAACCTTCTACCAGAGACCATACAGACAGAAAACCTCAGACCCATCAACGCCTTCGACGTGGTGAGAGGACATTGGCGAACAGCAGCGGCGCTGCGCTCTCTTCGCCAACCTCGCCAGGGGCTCGGTGAAAGCCCGCCAAGATCCATTACAGACTCGACAATGAAGAGTCCAATAATCAATATTCAAAGAGAGAGTCCGTGATGCGTGGCTTTATGCACTGGATGCCGATGCCTGTTTTGATGTAAGTATGTTGCTGCGTAGTCAGCGCCGTGGTGCGCGTCTGAACGCACCAAAGTCCAACAGTCCTTTGCTGGGGAATGCCGCGTCTGCCGGCAGTGCTGCAAAACCCAGGTTTTGGAGTATTTGCACCCTTATAACTTGTTTCATCCTGTTCTGAAAAAATTCAGCTTCCAATTATGTACTTCGGGAGGTAAGGAACCCAGAAGACCCCATGCTGAAGGGAACCCTTGCTGTTCCAAAGATGACAGGGAGAGTGTGCAATCTGCTGGCGGAAGAATCGCAGCCCACCCGGTTCAGGATTTAGGGTTTCGGGCCACCCCCGAACTAATGCCACTGCTATTGTTCTTGCTACCAGAAGTCAGTCTCATAAACCTCTATTGACGCAAGATAAAACTTAAAGCCTAAACGAGAAAGCCTAAACCCTCGACCCTAAACCCTGCTACATCCTCACTGTTCTTCTTTCTCCAGGTCGATCCTTTGCTCCCCATTGTGGCTCGGGCACTTCATCCAGAAGGCATCTCTCTTCAGTCGATCTCGGGGACGCGAAGGGCTCTTAGGGGCTTTGGTTTTTGAATGGTTGTAGAAGGTCTTAGCAGCCTGCAAATCTGGTGCTTGTATCTGTCCGGTTTGGGGTTACAGTGTTCGGTGTTTAAGAAGTTTCAGCGCACTTGATCAAATCGACATTCGTGCGTGCGTTCGCACGCAGGTCGGTGCATTTGGTGCCTTTGGTGCCTCAAAGATATACATGGGTCGGCGTGGCAGTTTCTATTCTTGGTTCCAGGCCAGGGATATCAGGAACTAAGTTTGTATACACACCTAGACCTAAACCCTAAACCCTCAAACACAAGTTATAGAACTAGATGAACACGGATAATTATAATAAATGGCTCCGGCCGGCAGTCCCGAGGCCCGAGGCCCACTAAGCCCTTAGCCAAACACCTCAAGAAGGTGTGGGTTTACGGTTCTTGGCGAACCCAACGCAGGGTTTTGAGTTCAGCGTAAGATAGGGCCTAAGTAAATCCCAATACTATTCTGAGGGTTCCTTATTATAAGTTTAGTATAATGGGCCCCAAAACCCTTTTCTAATTGTTAAGGCCCCTACATGAGACCACCCTTATAGATCCCTTATGGAACCCTTCAAGTGAGCCATTTGGAGGAACCGTATCTAATTATTACGGCTCCTTTTAAAGGAACCCTATTCTAATTATTGAGGCCTCTATAGTAGTTTGAGGGCCAAAAAATGTTGGGTGGATTGCTGGATCTGCAGGCATCGATTTCCTCGAGGAGGGCCTGGAGATGCGTCGCTGGCATGTTGTTGCTTCCTTATGTTATATTATAACATACTATAATTTCTATAATAGACTATATACTATGATGTGCTATAACATACCATAATATGCCATGATCTAACATAATATACCATATAGTGTATTATGTAGTTCCCAGGCTGAAGCCCTAAGCACTGAAGTCCGAGTGGCTGACAGCCCAGCCTGTGGGTGTCCCAGTGCCCAGGTTGCTTGTCTTCGGGTTTTGGGGGGCAAGCCAAGATAGGGGCGTGACAAATATTACTACTACTATTTTTCGGGGGGGGGATCCTTATCATAATTATAGTATACTGGGCCGCGAAACCGCATTGTAATTGGTAAGGCTCTGAAATTACTTGTCTCAGCAGCCTGGAAGTCAGAAAAGGGAAACACTGAGGAATGGCTTGTCTTCGAATTCAGATGTACTTTAGCTTTGGTTTGGAAACTCTTCTTTTGTTGTCGGTGTTCCCGCCTGATGTGAGGTTTCAGGCTCGGGCTCTCGAATCGCGTTTGCAGAGGGACCCTTTTTTTCGCACTGGATCCTCCGGTCCTCCGAAACCTCTGGGGGCAGCGGCCAGGCTGACCTATCTCACGGCCTTCTGTGCCAAGCCCATCTCTCCAGCACTTTGGGGTCCGCCGGGCACTTGGGAGCCCCAGCTTGAGGAGGGCGGGATGGATTCACTGTGTCTAGGACTCAGAGTAGGCCCTTACTCCCTTTTTTTGGGGTTCAGGTTCCCCTATAAGCCCCTTAAAAGCAAAAAGGGCACCCTTTTTATTCCTAGGTTACTGTTGGGTCTAGGTGTATAGGGGGTCGGGATACTTAGAAATCTTATTGCCGCATAGCATTCCCAGAGACTCCAATATCCCTTAATGAAGGAATATACCTTAAATTAGAGCAGGATCCCTAACATGATTTAAGGACTATTCCTTAATTAGGGATATTGGAGTCTCTGGGTTGTTCCTTCTGGTGATTAATTTGTCTCAGTACTGAGGCCAAGGTTAGGCCCAGAAGCTTACAAAGCCTCTGCTGCACTCTGCTCCGGACAACTAAGCTAGCCTTCACCCCTAAAACCCACATGGCCTAAAATCCTCAACCCCAAACGCCCCAAAATCCTAAACCGTAACCCCAACAGAAAATTCGAAACCCAAACACTCCCAAAACCCTAAAGCCCCTGTAAGTCTCATGTTCCCTGGGAGTTCCTTATTATATGTAAAGTAGTAGATGGGCCCCCCCCAAAAGAAAAAAACAATGTTCGAAATTTTTAGGGGAGGTTGGGCAGCCCCTCAGTCTACAAGGGCTTTGAGCTAGGGGCCTTCATGATTAAAAGATCTGAGCCCTAAACCCTGTAACCCTAAACCCTATACCCCCCAGAACCCCTGTAACCCCAAACCCCTATAACCCTAAACCCCTATAACCCTAAACCCATATAGCCCTAAACCCTACCCTGAGGTTCCCAAGGCTCTATCAGGCGGTCTGTGGCAAGTCCACGGCCTCTTTGCAGCTGCCGGAGGTGTTGGAGGTCACAGAGGGCTCTGGGGTCTGCAGGGTCTACCTTAACCCTGAATAACCTGTCTTTTAGGGTTTCTTTGAGTTCTTGGTATAAGTCCTTAAAAATGCAGGTGATTCGGGGTTAAGGTAGGGTTTGGGGGATCAGGGGTTTAGGAGTTTAAGGGTTTAAATGAGGGTTAAGGGTTCTAGGGGTTTAGGGTTTACGGGAGTACAGGGTTCTAGGGCTTCGACGGTTTATAGTTTGTACCGCTAGAGCTGATACAGTAACAGTATCCTGCTGGGGTTTGCTTATATAAGTATAATTATTGACCCTGCATTGAGTATTCAGGCCGCGGCTATACTGAGCTTATCACAAAGGACCGCCGAGTCGTAAGGCATAGGCAGGCCCGCAGCCGATGTAGAAACCCCACTCCAACCACGGACTCCTGCCAACTTGTGCAGTTCAGCGCATGTGCATGTTTCGTGGCGTTTTGAAACTCCAGGACAGGGAACCTAAGCCTATGCTCCCTTAGTAGTTGACTCGGACAAACTCCCGTAAGCCGAACCTTCGGATCTTTCACTCACAAGTAGGAAATCATGCTCCAAACCCTCCTTCATATGGCCCGAACCGTATCCCTCGAAGTGCCCCTTAAGGGAGCCCCTCTTGAAGAAGAGCCCTTAAAGGGAATCCTGTTCTATAGATTAGTACCCTTAACTTCGGGAGCGTGGAACCTTCACAGATCTTGTAGAGTACCCTTAGAGCGACCCTTTACGGAACCCTTCATGAGAGTCCTTCAAAAAGAGGAGCCCTTAAAGGGAACCCTTTAATATAGAGTGGCACCCTTATATTAAGAAAGGGAGCCTTTAGAGGAACCATTCATGAGAGTCCTTCAGGGCGGCTGGGCTCCAGATTTCATGACCAGCATCCTGGAGCCGATGTTGCCGGGAGCTCGATGTTGCGATGGGGCCCTCGGTTAAGATTTTGGATTCTATACAGGGAAGCGTAGATCAAACACAGCTAGTATATAAATGTGATATATAATTATATATATATACATATATATATATATATATCATGTGTGCATATACAAATAAGTAAACAGATGCGCATACCCTAAACCCCTGATTCATGAGCTGAGGAACTACATCGCCCGCGGCCCCATCGAGATCCTCTTCTCTGGCACCTGGGCCGAGGCAGCCGTTCTCGCACAGAAGCGTCGAATCTCTCTCTCTAGATTGTACCTGCTTTGGGCTTGTACCCTAAGGCTCCATAGTAGTTCCTTTTTGGGGAGTTCATATATAGAGTCCTATAAGGTGATCCCCAAAAAGGAACTACTACGGAGCCTCTGGGTAGTCCTTAAAACTATCGTTTTTGATATGCAGTATTCCACAGAACCCCATTCTGATGTCAAGTTGGGAGCGGTGGGATTACAAGTGTTCCCCCTTGTGCACTTTTTCACCCCGGGAGCAAGGGCAGCATGACCTATGCCGACATGGTCTTCAACATGGTCAAGAAGGCCCCTTTCGTGACGCACAGGGAACAAGCTTGCAAGCTGCTGCAACAACCATTCGGCAATCACGAAATGAATATCCGATACTTAAGGTTTATAGGGCTCCGAGCTTAGGACCGTGTTAGTTGCAGTAGGCTTCGGTGCCAGAGTTGGTGCTAATGATTACTGCTAATGCTTGTTGTGTTGCCGAAGGAAGAGGATAGTTATGGGCACCAGAGGCGGCGTCAGCAGCAGTCACATGCTAGTCCGGCATTTGCTTACTTTGCAGGGGCTTGGGTTGAAGGTGGAGGCATGGAGTCATTAGGAGAAAAAGGTGAGTTTTATGGATTCTCTTAATTGCAGATGCCTGAGCTACACCCTTCTGGACTTGGATCCTGTTTTCATTGTCCCAATCTAGTTGCATGTTTACAGTCACACGTATTCATACATAGGTCATACACTTCTTCGTATTATATTGATTGATCCGGAAGCCTGTCGCATTACTCGGCATTGCCAATGCGCCTTGAAGTTTGACAGTGAATGTTCTTGCTTATGATGCTATCTAAGCCTGAATAGTTGTCTACACTCTACCTTAGGGCTGTTCTTGTCTAGTATGACCTACCTCAAACCGAAGTCTAATTTCTGAGGTCCCTGTATTCAGCCCTTATATCAAAGCCCTCTTCTAATTAGCCAAGCCCCTGTATGAGCCAACCACATTGCAGGTCTTGCACTTGCCGGGCGTCGGCTCGGAGAAGGCCCGATTAACACGGGTTAGGGTTTGGGCAAGTGTAAAGGTATTTCAGACTGAGGTAGCGAACGAAATAATGGGTTCTCCTCATGAAGGCATTATGGCTCATTATGGTAACCTGAACAAGAATCCAGAAAGCAAGGGGACCGGTTGATGTCCCAGAGTCTCAGAAATCCATGGGATCTCATTGGAGATCTGAACCAAAAGGATCTCCCTTACAAGGATCTCTAATAAGAAGGGCTCCCTATTCTTCTCTTAGGACTACACCGGATTTCCATCTTCGAGGTCTAGGGTTTAGAAGGGACCTGGGCGTTGCCGCCCTGAAGACCCGAAACCCTAAACTCTAAATCCTAGGCCCTTAACCTTGAAACTTGCATCCCCTAAACCCGTATAGTAGGTTTAGAGGGACCCTTAAAGGAACTGAAGATCCAAATTACGTGCACCCGGACCAGAGCTCAAGCGCGGCTCAAATCCCGGCAGCTACGAGAAGCCCCGGAGGTCGAGACAGGTGCGGTTTCTTAAACTCGGGTTTCGGGTTTAGGACTCAGAAGGTGAGGGTTTTGGGTATAGGGTGACCTGTCATTGCCAAGCATACAATATCCAACTATGTGTGGTTCAGCTAGGGTTCCAATGTTGGTGTCTGAATAAGGTTTAAGAATGTCCCCCCATGGTGTAGTTATAGTAGATATAACCCCGAAGCCAGTTCCCTATAAAACCCTAACAAAGCCGTGTAAGACTTTATGACATTATCATAACACCAATCAGCAGCCACGTTACATCCGTCTAAGCGCCGTGAAACGCCCTAGATTCATAGGAGTGCCCCAGACCCAAAGCCCTAAACCCTAAGATCCGAAGCCCGAAGCCCAAAAAGCCCAGGCCGTGAGCCCTAAAGCCTGAGTTACTATAGGGGCCTAAATAATTACCTATGCAATTTTGGTGGATAACTTAGTTTAAGTACAGTATATAATATACCCCCCCAAAAAAACCCTATTCTAACTATTAAGGCCGCTACATTATAGCACCCTTGTAGATCCCTTATCGTATCCCTTTAAGGATCCCTTTAAAGGGAACCCTATTCTAATTATTAAGGCCCCTTCCAGTGGTGGGGCCCGGAGGTCCCATGAAGCCATCCGACCTGGAGCACACTGCCAAATCCGACATCAGTCGCTGAGTTGGGTTTCGGAAGGTGCTTTGTTTGTTAGGTTTGATTATCAGGGTATGTACGGTGCTGGATAAGGGATCTAAGAAGGTTTTATTTAGGTTTGTGTGGGTTCGATTCCTCTAGTATAGAGCTGTTATGTGTTTTGTAGAGGCTTAATTCGGCTTCTGCGGTTGCAGAAGCGTGTTAAATTTTATGATGGTTTACAGTGTTTTACAGATTTTTTTATGGTGTTGTAGAGTTAGCTTTAAAAGGCTCCCACAGGGTGACTTTGTCCGTGGGGCACTGGGATCCCTCGGTTGCGGTCGGGGGTTCGGGGTTTAGGCGTAGCAATTCATATTTGTTTCGGGGGCCTAGATAATTATCAATACCGTCTTGGGGTTTTTTCTTGTTTCGATTGTAGTATAAGCGGCCCCAAAACCATATTCTGATTCTTAATGCCCCTATATTGTACTTTGGGGGCCCTTGAATTCCAACCCAGGCCAGAGCACAACGCTCTCTGGCCTCACGGACGGCGAGACTATCAGTCTGGATGACTTTTCCGTAGATCCTGTGCCTGCGAAATCTACCACGGAGCTTGTGAAAGACGTGGAGGTAGCTCTCGACGAGGCCGAATGTGAACCAATCAGCATCTGGACATGGAAAACTTGTGGCTTGCCTCTCAGCGCTTTCCTTCTGGCTTTCCTGAATGCCATCGCATCTGGCATCGTCTATGGATTCTTCCTGGGCTACATGGGCTTGGATTCTTATGTCATGTCTTCGATTGCAGCCCTCATGAAGCTTCCAGAAGTCTTTCTTCTGCCCATCGGCATGATCAATGACTGCTTTCCCATCTTCGGCTACCACAGGAAGCCGTATTTGGTGGCATCCTGGTTCATCTCTGGCGGAGCGCTGTTGGCGATGAGCCTACGAAGATTGCCAGCACCCTACTACTGCCAATTCCCTGATGGCAGCTATGACTGGATGTCACCGCCATGCAATCCGGACATCCACCTGGAGAAGAACTGGTACATCTTCCCCCTCTTCGTACTCATTGCAGGTGCGCAAGTGGGAAGCGTGGCTGGCGAGGGCCTCTTACTGGAGTACTCCCAAAGGGAACCTGCAGAGCACCGTGGACAGATCAAGGCAGAGCCGGGGCTCTTGTTAAGAATTGATGTTAAGTTACCATAATAGGAATCTATAGTAAATGATGTGGTTTCCTTACTAGGATAACTTAAATTAAATCCCGTAACCCCTGAGCCCCTGTAGAGCCCTCATGAAAGAACCCTGAATTACGGTAACTTAAATTAAATCCCTTAGCCCCTAAACCCTTACAGAACCCTTCAAGGCACCCAAAAAATCTGGTAACTCAAATGGGTGGTTGTCAAAATTGTGGTACCTTTTTGGGTCCTTATTATAACACGGCACCTAATAATTAGGGTATCCAAAAAGGGACCATAATCTTGACAACCACCCAAATTTAATCCGTTAAGAAGAGCCCAGGAAATGACCATGGTGGTTACAGCTGGCTCGCTGACCGCCTCTCTCGTCATCGGACTACTCCTGAGTCTGGGTTGCCTTACTAGGGATCTGGTTTATTAATAGGGATCGATATAATAGAGGATCTATAATAACACAATAGGGATCTATATAGATCCATATAAGATGGTTTTCTTATTATGGTAGCTTAACACTAAGTTTCTTAACCAGAGCCCAGGAATGGCAAGGCATACTTGGGCACCTTTGACTGGGGATTGTCATTCAGTGGCTTGATGACGATGTGCTTGGCCATGGTTGTCTTCATCATTCCAGTCAGCTTGCTTTTCGTATATGAGCCCAAGAAGGTTTCGCATCCATCGTTCACCGGCCATGCCAAGTCGTCTTGGAAGCTCGTCAAAGGGAAAGCCCTATCGAGCATCCTGTTCTTTGCCTTCCTTGTCCAGTTCCTCGTCGCCAGCGCGACCACGGCAACACCCATGGTCCAGAGCCAGTGGGCAGGTGTTAAGGTCCTGCAGCAGCAGCTCTTCGGCACAGCGGGCATGTTTGTGATGATGCTGGCCACCTGGATCTACAAGGTGTATTTCCTCCAGACCAGTTGGAGAAAAGCGATCCTTGTAGCCATCCTGACCGTGTCTGTGGTTGATGCCATCCCGGCCTTCCTCACGATCTTCGGAGTTGTTCGAAATCAGTACTTCTACCTCGGAGAAGGCGTTGTTGGCAACGTGCCCAAGGCGGCCCTCGCATTGGTTTCAAACCTGATGATCATTGAGCTATCGGAGCCAGGATGCGAAGGGATGTGCTACGGCTTGGCCGGGACAATGCAAAATGCCGCCAGCCCTCTTGCGACGGTAGTCAGCAATCAGGTCTACGGCCTCTTCAACCCTTCCCTGTCGAAGTTGGAGAACTATGTGGCCGACACACCCCAGTTCCGCTCGACGGTAGCCTGGTCTTACGCGCTCACTTATGCCACGACGCTGCTGAGCTTTGGAGCACTCCCCTTAATCCCAAAGCAGAAGGAGGATGCCCGCAGGAGGAAGCAAGAGTGGAAGTCGAGCCCGATCACGGCCACATTAGTGCTGGGCGTTCCAGCCATTTGCTTGGTCTACGGGGTGACGGTGCTCTTGCTGACCAGTCAGCCAGAAACAGCGTGTTTGCGTTGGGTTGGTGGCCAAGGCTGCGAAAGTTAACTTGATTTCAGGGCTCAGCTCTGTAAAGTCTGCACATTTGTCAGGGTGCGGCTCAAGCGTCCTCGATGGTGGAGCCCAGGACGGATTGAGCAGGTGCCTGACGGGCCCTGAGTCCGAGTGATTAGTGCTTCAGCATTGGATGCTGGGTTCAGGGTTTACCCATAGGCCCCAAAGTAGTTCCTTTTTGGGATTCCCTTATAGGATTCTAGAGAACCCCAAAAAGTAACTACTATGAGGCCATGGGGTAGGGCTTATCTATCCTACAAGATTGTACTGAGACTCTACTTTCCTTTGTACAGGAGGGTTTACGTCAGCTGCCAATGCCGAGTCTGCCGCTTTTTGCAAGACTTAAGCGCCGAAAGGACACAAAGTCCTGGTGCTTGTGCCGGATGGTACAATGCCCCGACATCAATATGAAATTCATATTGCCAACACGTCCAACAGCTTGACGGAGGGTGCTTTATGCAATGTTCAAGACAGTTGCTTGTTGACATAAAGTTCCACTGATTCGTGCAGCACACCCTTGCGTTGCTTTCTTCAGCCGCAGCCTACTTGTACAGGTGAGGGCCCACTAAACGGCTCGCTTAAACGCGGAACTGGCTCAGCCCGGGCTGCGCCTGATCACAGTTTTCAAGATGCCTTGCCTCCAAGATACCTGTACAGCTCTCCTTCTCCAGGAGACTCTTTGGCAGTAGCATTCGAATTGCGCATGCGCGCTCATGCGGCAACGGAAGCCAAAATCCAGGCTCACTGCACAGATAGGGGCTTATAGGGGCTTTGAAGTAGTTAGGTTAGTACCATTCGTCCGGATACGGCTCCTAGTTGTTATGGTTTAGTTCATGCCAAACCCTTATACTCTACTGTTTGAGGACGCCGCAGCTGCCGCCGAACTGGCTACAGCACTCTTCGCCCACGCGACACCTCCAGGCATCGTTCGGCCCGGCCACGAGGATCTTGAGTCTTTAGGAATTAGGGTTTCCGAACGCCCCGTTATCTCTCTTGGATGTACAGGCTAGTTTAACGGGCAGATTGGGCTTTCAGGGTTTGATAGGGCTTGCAGGATTGAAGGTTTAGGAGTTTAGGGTTGATGAGGTTTAGGGTTCTGGGTTTATGGGATTCAGGGTTGTTGGGTTGAGGCTTTCTAGGGTTGAGCGTGTTTCGGGGTTCAGGGTTTATAGGGTTTGCGATTTGAAGCGTTTGGGCATTTAGGGTTTAGGGTTGCGGGTTTAGTGCATCATCAGGTCTGCCCTGTGGAGTTCTTCGGCAAAGGCTGGTTTTGCGACCCTAAACCCTAAAGTTTAGGGATGTTTCGGGTTCGAGGGATGCTTTGGTAGAGTCTCAGGTCACGCAACACAGGTGCTTGGCTGGAGCAGACTTGGGAGCCCACATTCCTTCCTGTTACAAATGGGAGCTTCCGAGCACTGGGGGCCCTAATAGTACCGTAAACAGAGGATCCTCAGTATAAGGACCCCCAAATAAGGTACCCCCAATGTACGGAAACTCCTAAATGAAACCGGGTTCATGCCAGCAAAGCCCTACAACCACTCCGAACAAAGAAGCCCGGCAGTTGCCGATGCATGGCTTCCTGCTTACTTCGGAGAATTCTGGCCGGGAGCCCAGCAGAGAGCGCAATTCCAAGCACGCGCAGCTTAATCCCGGTCTACGTCTGTGTAAGTCTTCGCTGGGCTGCTGCAGAGTCTCTCCACTATTAAATGATGCGCTGAGACACACTATGGCGTGCCGTAGACTTTCTCTTTTGCGCATAGCATGCTTGTCTGTCAGTCATGTCTGTGCAGGATCAGATATCCCACTCGGATTGGGTTGGTAGTAGTCCAAATGATGAGAAGAACCTCTGGCATTTCTTTGGCAGACGGGCCACACCTTTGATAAAAACATGCTCCTGGCGTGTGAGTCGTCGACACTAATTAGACCCTGAACCCGAACCTCGATGAAGCCCTTATCGCATGCACGTTACTTGTCCAAGCCTTGACGACTCCGGTTCTCAGTGAGAGCCCCGAAACCATAAACCCTAGGCCCCGCTCGCCTAAACCCTTTACGTCTAATCCTCTCAACCCTATAAGCCGTAAACCACCTAAAGCCCTTCTAATTCCGTAAGTCCCAAAAAAACCCTCAGGACACGGGTGGCCGAAGTTGAGACCAGCGACCTTCGGCAAGCTCTGCTAGTGGCCTTTGCCACGCAGATGTGGTGACCTTGCAGGGTGATGAGGCAATTCAGAAGCCCAAATAATTTGAGAGGTTCTTTAAGGGCTACTTAGAACTACTATTTAATGGTGTTTTAGGGTTGTGAAAACTGTTTCAGTGGGAAAAGTTTCAAGAGAGAATAGATATCAATATTGTTACCTAGGGTGCCTTATTGCCGTTGTGATATTGCAAATATATATAAGGCCATCAATCCAAAGTTTCGTTCGAAGCATGAATGGCGAAGTCCTTGACATAAAGAACCTTCCACCCAAGTACCCTACACCCCCAAACAGCCCCTGCAGGAACTTGCACAGGCCACCACAAGCCCAATTCACAGGTCAGACCCCAAACCTCACGGCCATGCCAAACCCTCCCTGATGATCCCGGAGTGAAGGCACTGGTGACTAGCACAGGTCAGATGCCTCAGCCCTTCTGGCTTTTCGAGCTTGAACCGAGAGCGTAATGCAGCGTTCAACAACCCTGAATCCTAAAGTCCTAAAGTCTAAAGCTTATGCCTTATAAACCTAAACCCTAAATGTTGAAGGTGTTCACCCTGGGTGGCCATACCCTGCAGCGAAGCTCACGCAGAATGTTTTCTATGGCTGGGCGCAGAGGCGACTCACGATCTCAACGAAGCAACAAGAGAACCGACAAACCAACAAACGACCTGTACAGCTTTACAAGTTGTTGGTTACAGTACACATGGCTCAAGAGGCTTTCCTACGCAGCCTTCCCCTAAGCCAAAGGATACAGGAAACACACATGTACAAGCCTACCTGAAGGAAACTATACAAGTGCCGGCAATCCCTTCAAGCAGACTACACACCTGTCTAACCTGATACCTGGGCATGCAGTGAGAAGCATTTCAACACTCCTCCTTGCTAGAGCCGACAGGCAACTAGCACACGCTGCACTATTTACAGCATGCCCGTTCCTGGGACCTCTAGCCTTGAACCTTGGCTTGCCTTTAGAGACCTGTGCGGTGGCGGTCTCTGCAAACACGGCACAAGTTGCGGGTAGTTAAGGGTGTATTACGCCTTAAACCCCAACAATTAGAATCTAGATGAACACAATCCCCGTGCGCAGTGAAGTAAAAGGGACCTTGGGGAAGTTCATACTGCGTGCGGATTTCGATCCTGGCAGGCATCGGATCTGGTGGGACTCCTGTGACTGGTTGGAAAGCAGGCTCACGATCCGTTTGAGTAGACTGCTCACGCACTGCAGGGCGGCGACGAGACTGTGTGGCCTTGGGCCGTGGTGCAGCAGGCAACTCGTGGGAGGACTGCGAAGGCACAGGTGCCCTCTCGTTGTGAGCTGTGGACTCACCTGCTGGAGGTCTGGAAGACACGTCCTCAAGACTCATGCCCTGCAGTTGGGCAGCAAGCTCATCCTCAACAGCTCTCTGCATACGCTTCAAACGACGGGCTCGACGAGACGACGCATGCGAACCAGCCCACCACGCATCAAGCCGATCCCACAATCTCTTCAACCACTCCCACACAACAAGGACACAAACCAATGCCATGCCAAGAACGAAGTACAGCTCCAGGGATCCATCAAGCTGCAAGCCAGGATACTCGGATTCACGGCTTGAGCTTCGTGCAGGTTGGATTTGAAGCAAACACAACAAGGCACTCAACGCGACTGGGTCGACAGCTGCTGACGAGCTCGGCCTGACCTCTCGGTCGGCTGTATCACCCGCAAAGTCACGCATGCCCCATAACCTGACAAGCTCTTCAATCCTTGCAGACGGAAGAGGTTTGGTCAGTAGATCTGCAAGCTGTTCCACACCCGGGCAGAAGGCAAGCCTCAGCTTCCCAGAGCGAGTCTGCTCACGAAGGTACTCAGCTCTTACCCGTAGGTGTCGCGTTCTCCATGATCCATGACCGTCAGAAATCGCAAGTGACGCTTGGGAATCAACGTGCAAAACCCTTTCTTCCGCAACGTCAAAACCAACCGTGTGAAGCAACGCCTCAATTGATTCAAGCGCGATTGCACACTCAATCGAAGCAGTGAGTTCACTTTCAGCAGTAGAAAGTGTCACAAAAGCTTGACGCGCCGACCTCCAAGCAACTGGACATCCATGCACACACACGCACCAGCCTCCATGTGAGCGAAGGCCTTCTGGCGAGAAGCTTGCGTCACTCCAACCGTGAAGTTGGGTTCCGTCCGCCTCAAACACCAGCGACGCTGTCTTGGTTCGCTGCAAGTAAGCCAAGGCACGGTCAGCAATGCGTAGAGCACGACAAGGCGCCTTCGTAGACAAACTAGCAAGCAAGCTGGCAGTGAACGCCAGGTCCGGGCGAGTACGTTGAGACAACCACAGCAGTTCACCAGTCACCTGTTGCGCGCGGTGAACGGCCTCCCCGTCAGGGGGGCTGGAGTCTCCTTCGCCAACTTCAAACGACGCTAGCTCCCGAGGACAAGGGATTCTACCCCTCACGTGGCAAGGTACCTCATGAAGCCGCAAGACTTCTTCTGCGTACGACTGCTGTGAGAGAACAAACCCACGAGGAATGACAATGATGTCCACGCCAAGGAACTTGATCGGCTGCTCTGGGGTAGCTACCACAAACGGTGTTGTGGCCCACTTTTCTTGCAGAGCCTTGGCCAAACTTTGAAGGACACCTAGCGACCCACACAACAAGAAGTCATCAACGTACACCAACAATGCGCCCTCAACGCGACCACCTTCAACCCTGACGACTTTCCACCAGTTCGGGTCTAGGGTCGAAGGCTCAAGCCGGTAGGTCACGCCGTCAAGGTCCCACACCAACGCTGCCAAACAAGCATCTCGATACTGTCCCCACAAGCGCGGGGCCTCTCGAAGGCCGTAAACCGCGTGGGATAGTATCCACAGCTCATGTGCAACTGCAAGACCAAGCTTGACCAACAAGCGGGGCGGGGTCAACGCAAAGATGGGGAAACCTTCAAGACAAGGAATAGGCGTTTTGAGGAACGCGCTGGTGATATCCAACACTCCCAACAACCAACCAAAGAAGCTTGCCAGGGCAATCACTGTTCTCAAGCTCTCAGCCTGAGCACCTCCAGCATACACATCCAAGCCTGTATTTGGCGCCACATTTCCGCAAGCAACAAGTCTCGCTTTCCGACGGTACAAACCTTGGCCTTGCGACGAAGCCTTTGGAGCGCCCTGAAGGGCCTCTGTACTGACGTCGGGCTGAGTGAGCGCAAGCTTTCCAGTGTCACCAACAGCTGCTGCCCCTTGGTCGGGCGGTTTCACTGTGAACACAAACTTGGAAGGTACCACCTGCAGTCGAGGATCACTCAAGTACTCGGCCTGCCTGGGGTCTGAAGGGCGCAGTCTGAGCACCGCATGCTCAATGGCCTTTACTTCTTTCTCAATGGACGGAATCCAAGGGATTGGATTGAGTGCGACTTCTGCGGGGTCTACAGTGTGAACGATTTGCAGAGGTGAGCTTAGATTGCTTAGAAGGTGTTCTATGTTCTTCGTGAACGTCGGTTCGGCTTTGCACAGGCGGTAGGGGATTACGGGTCTACCTTCGCTTACGAAACCCTCCTCCTCTAACGAGCTCCGCGAACCACTTTCTACAACCTTAAGCACCCTCAAACTGCAGTTGCTGGCGTTTGCGGCATCGCTCATGGGCTCCTGCGGAACATACATGTCCCAAGACACAGTAACCGGCCAGGCCTCATCAATCTCAACGGGTCTTTGGTTCTGCTCTGGTCCGGCCTCCTCTTTAGAGGGGCTGCATACAGGGGCAACTGGCCGATACGAACACGACCAGTTCACAGCGAAGTCTACAAACCCATCTGCAACTGGAAAGACCTCTTGCCAACCACCACCTTTGTTGACGGGTTGGCTCTCCGGGAAGCTAGGGTGTTGATGGATAGGGATCTCATGAGCCTCAGTGGCCTCCTCCTCCTCCTGTACTTGAGACAGACGCGGGGCCTGGAGATAGGCGGAGTCTGGGAGAGGAAATCCCAAATCTGCTAAGCCGTCAAGGTCATCTTTTTCGGCCTTTCCAAGCACGTCGGAAGTGTAGCCTATAACAACGACGCGGGTGCCCTTGAAGGGAGTTACGAAATGATGCCGCTTAGGATCAAACTCGAAAACTTCATCCTCTTCAAGTCTGTGCACCACACCGTGACGCTTGCGACCTCGTGCATCAGTGTGCTCTACAATAGACCCCCTAACAACATCCCCACTACCTAACTCAACCCAAAGATCCCCCCCACGCTTAGGAAGACACACTGGTAGGATGAGGTTTGTAGTTCCCGGAAGGTTGGAAGAATCAGTGTGAATGTCCTTTTGACACGAGTTGGACAGACACACCGACGTGAAGGTAGCATCAGGTGCATGATGCTGCAACAGGCGCGCGCACAGTGAGGCAAGCCACGGCTTACTCCAAGTCGATCGCATACAGCCTACTATCCCTCCCCTACGGAACATTCCAGCTTGATACTGCTCTTCGGGGTAGGCTTGGCAAACTTGCATGAGGAGATTCTTGGCAGCCTCAGGATCCCATTCCTGCAGCAAAGTCTTTGCGCCAGCTTCAAGCTCAGACCACGTCCATGAGCCGAGCTGGGCAGCTCTCAGCTCTGCTTCTGGCGGGGACTTTCCTACAACGCGACGCCTTACAGGGACAGACTCGCCCTCAAACTGCTCAGGGCACTCAGGAGGCTCAACAACCTTAGTTCTCACGTGCAGCGACTGTGTGAACCCATTGCCTTTGCCATCATCCCTGTACACCAAATGACCTTCATTAACCGTTGGAGATAAACCCGCATACCGACCTGAAATCCACCGTTCGGCAATCTCGCCCTTAGCAGCTGCAACAGACGTGTAGGCCTTCACGCGCACCAGGCACTTAGCACCAAAAGGCGCTGCAAGCTTCGTGGCCATACCTAGTACCTCAGACCTCTGCTGTGCTGCAGCAGCTCGCATTGCACATGCCCACAGGGGCGGCGGGAAATCAGCAGCTCGCAGTAGAGTTCGTGCCCGAGTCTTAAGCCACCTGA